TATACTTATTACATAGAATTTAAAAGCCACATAAACTATGTTATTTTACCAGACATTTTAAAAATAAAGCTGAACCATACAAGATGTGTGTTCTGCCTTAAAGTTTTCCTGGATCCAGCATTTGCCAGTTGACCTGGGCAAACTTCAAACGCAAAAGGCCTTCAAATCCTAGCAAGCAATAGACATAGCAATAGCCTCTTATGAAATTCAAACCAGAACAAAAAGGTGCGAGGTCATCTTTCAGCTTGGACAGTTTTTGACATCACTAGGTGAAAACTAGTTCTGTAAATCCACAAGGTTAATTTCTTAATCCACATAGTAAAGTGAAATAAATGCTTACCTGGTTTTATGTTAATTATTCTTTGTAAAATGCAAAAACAACCTTATTCATTGTTCCTGATGTTATTTTGTACTTTATTTGTCTCCCTCTGAATAAATAAGGCCACATGGGCAGCACACAAGTCCAAAGTTTTACCAAACACAACACGTTTCAGAGGATTTACACCACCTTAAATTTTATTAAGTATCAGAATATTTGTGTCATAGTAATTTTACAAGCAAGCTAATGGAGACCCAAAGCAATTTGCCTAAGATCACAGCAATGGCATTAACAAAAGCCAGGATGACCTAAAACTAGCCTGTTGCTCTAACCACTAACAATCACTTATAAGACATTACTTTATCTGCCCTCTTCAAAATTCAGCTAGGTTGTATATTTGTCATGGCAACTTAGTTTGAATTAATGCAAGCTTAATTTAGGTATTATCAAGTCAAACTTAATGACCTGCATTCAGGAACTGCTATGGTGAATTGCTGCTGCTTGCAAGTTTTAATAGTGACAGTTCATCTTCTAAATAATATGGAAGTGAGTACTTGTTCTACTAAGATTATACTGGACATCTAGCAACACTGTCCAGAGCAGGGGTTTGTAACCTATGGCCCACAAGCCAGATTTGGCCCATGAAAAAACTGGACCTGGCCCATGGCAGCTCAGAAAATCTGCAGCATACACCAGTCACAGTGGAGAGGGTGCAAGCACCTGCCCTGTTCAATTTAGTCTTTCCTGCACCACAGGAGGTATCCACAGGATCCTAGCACCTGGCTCTTTCTGCATCTACTGATCACTGGGGCAGGGATTGATAGGGGAAAGCTGTGTGGGGCTGTGGCCCACAGCAAGAGCTAGGTGGTAATCAGAACCCTGCCACAGCAAATAAGTTGCCAATGCCTCATCTAGAGTGGTGTAAATTGTAAAAGGCACCACACACAAACAGCACAACTCCAATGTTCCCTTATAAACAAAACTGGGCAGGCAGATGAGAGAGAAGCAACAGCAGCAGGAGCCAGTGCAGGCTCGGCTGTAGCCCACCAGGCAGGTGTGGGAGATAGACTAAGAGAGTTGGTGATGCCAGACTCTGCTCCCTGTCCCCTCTCCCCTCTTGCAGGAGCTTCTGTTGCTGCCGGCGGCAGCAGCTGCTTTCCTGCTCTTTGCAGCACACTGCAAACCAGGCCGGTAGCGCCAAGCCCCTTTCCTTTCCCCTCCCCCACCCCCTCCAACACACACACACACCTACACCCCACCCCCCTCCATACCCACACACCCCCAAAACTGTCCCACACACCCTGCTATACACATCCCAGAGATATATACCCACATCTTGACCCCTACTAGACGCATACCTCAACCACACACACACACCCTACACACATACCCACACCCCCTCATACACCCCACCCGATCATGTCCATACACATCCAACATTCCCACACACCCCACATACATCCATGTGGTACCCCAAACACACCCTACCTGCACCATACCCACACACACCCAGAAGTCCCACGCACCCTGCACCTCAACCACACACATCCTACACCCACATATAACCTCACACATGCCCCTCCTATGCCCCCATACACCGCACCTGGCACCATACCCACACATCCCCCAAACCACATACTCCCCCAACCACACACCTCCTACCCCTCCCTCCACACAATATACAAGCAAACTGCTTCCCGCCCCAAAAGGAGTACTTCCTGGGCAAGGGGAGAAACTCCCATCAGCAAAGATCAGGGGTTAGGGGGCAGGACTTCCAGTCACAAGATGGTGACCAAGGGGCAGGACACCTGCCAAGGGGCAGAGCTGCCCTTGCAGCCCTCGGCACCTCACCAAAACTCATTAAGCGGCCCTCCACCCGAAATAATTGCTTACTCCCAATACAGAGCATTAGTCCTGGCCCTTTATAATAAATCATATGAATAGAAGGGATGAAGTCTGTGCCTGACTGGGAAGGATGCTGCCAACTTTCCTACCAAAGAAGGGGGGGAAGAAGGGGGCAGGAGTTGATGCACAGATGTAGCCCTTGATCCAGTAGGACTCCTAAATTTCAAACTCTGGCACTGAGATACAAACAGGGCAATCATTAAATAGAATAGGTGATACATGTTCTCTCTGCCATTTTCCCTACTTGGGTTTTAGTGAAACAAAACAAGTTTTAACCCAAGAGTGCCCCTGCTAGTTCGTTTCCATCAACACCTTAGGAATCTATAAATGAGTATTTTGTTATTTTACCTAAAGAACTTACTGAAATTAATTTAATTTAGACTAGTTCATTTTGGGACCCATATGAGAAACTTAAAACCCTGCAATAGTAGTTTTAGCAGAATTCAATTTAGCAGAAATCTGTTCCTGCAGCAGTTATTTACAAGATTTTCTTTTTCCTAATCTATTAAGTACTTGGCTGTTTGCCAATCTCAGAAGAGAGTCTACCACAGCTATCTCCAATGCCAAAAAGTTTCAAAGTGACAATACCAAAACGATACCACATTTGCTATTCTTGCCTCTAAAAAGAATGCCTGAAGAAGTCAAGTCATTATCTTGCTGCTTTATCCCTGAAACTCCATATTTGTTACAATGGATACTGTAAGACATGCTAAGCAGTGGAGATAACAGAATGGAACAGAAATCAGGCTACCCAGATGATGAATAAGGAGGTGGCTAACAAGAGTAGTACTACATTCCGACCTTGATCCAGTAAAAGTCACAGGATTTGCATTCCATACTTAACTATCCCTGTAAATGACAAAATTATTTCTAAAGACATTAATTTTAATAGCAAAACAAGGCAGGAGATGCATCCTTAAGAAATTACAATGCCTCAAAAAAGACATTAAAATGACTGAATCCAAAGTTTAAAAGTATTATTCATACGAGTGGTCTAAAGCTCAGATGCAAATGAAAATTTGAATAATCACAGAAAGAAGCCAGTGCAAAGAAATCAGAAAGGTAATGAAAAATGGAAAGCAAATGGAAAAAAAATAGAAAATTTTTGAAGTACAGAAGTAGTTCAGAAGAAAACAAGTTGCAAACACTTGTTTTCAACATACATACCATTATGTATAATGGTTTAGACCATTATACATAAACATGTTCATGACTTGTGTTTGAAACTACTGCACCCCTTCACCCACCACAAATACTGTTTATAAGTAAAGCAGTAACAAGATAACTTCATTAAATGGTTAACCAGAACTGAACCACAAGATACAAGGTATGAACCCACAAGACAGAATTATTTTGGATAAAGAGATGATACAAAAATGAAATGAAGTAGAAAACAAAAACATAGCCTCATCTCTCAGCCTGTGGAACAACAGTTCAAATGAACTAGCAAGAAGATACCACTTGGGATACAACAAATCCTATGACAAAGTACAGCCTGAGTAGCATGGCTATCTAGACTAGTTCCCTGGAGACTTGGAAAGGGAGGAATCCTGTACTCATGACGAGTGCTAGAGCAGCGGTTCTTAAACAGGGGTATGCAACTCCCTGGGGGGCTGTAAACAGGTTTCAAGGGGTCTGTCTGGGCCAGTTGGGCCTGGCCCAGCCTGGGGAGGAGCAGCCTCAGACCCCAGGGCTAAGGCAAGTCCTAAGGAAGGGGAGGGGGCAAGCCCACCCGCCCCAGCCCCACAGCCTCCATTGTGCAGGTGGCGCTGCAGGTGAGGCTCTGCACTGCTCTAGCTCAGGTGAGTGGGGCCCCAGAGCTCCCCATTGCCAAGCCCCACCTACTGCATCCAAGGCCATGCAAGCAGAGCTGGAGAGCTGGGCCAGGGAGCAGTGGCAGCTCCACAGGGGGCCTCAGAAAGAAAATGATCGAGAAGGCCATAAGATAGAGGGCCATAAATGTCTGAGTAACATTTGTGTATCGGAAGTATTCCCTCCAATGTGCAGGGAAGGGCTGATGAATCCATGCAGTCACAGATATTCCAACCTGGCTCCAAATCTTCTATTGCATGGTGATAGCGAAAGAGCTCTGAAAAAGACATACTCCTGAGCAAACAGGTAAGACACATGCACTGGACTGCCTCAGCATTCTGGAACTTCACCACTGCTATTAGCGCAGCCTGCGGAGGTGGTGGCCAGATTTGTCACTAGCAGACTATACGAGACAATCCTCCACCTTGGGGCTGGGTGGACTAAATGAACTGATACAGTAATAGCTGTGACATATATTCCAATCAAACATAATAGCCCCTATGATGCCTTATGCTAAGAATTAAAAAGAAAAATAGATGTGGCAGAAACATTTAATTAACATACAGCAACTAATTAAGATGCCGCACCCAAGATATTCCTTTCCAGTCCTGGAATGAGTGTGGGAAGGAAATATCCCTTCGTGATGAAAGTAAGTACAAAGGACATCTTTTTCATTCAGAATGGAGAAAATGCACTGTATTTCACACTTTGTTCTTCTACTTCTGATTTTGCAAATAAGAAATTCTTACCACTCCAATTTTCAGGAAAAGGTGTTGGAAATGCTTCAGTTTAATTTATGTAAAACAGTTTTACCCAGAATTTGGATTACCAGTATGCCACTGTCTGTTTTATATAATTTAAATCTGCTACACGTTGTTGTTTCCTTCTCTCTAAAATACCACCATACAATGCCAGCCATCCCAGCACACACACAATGAAACCAGAAGGCAGAGCTCCTCTTTACCTTCTGCTGAATATTCTGCTATCTCCAAGGCTTGAAGTCCATACACGAAGCCCTTCTGGAATCTATGAACACAGCAGAAGTAAAAGGCAGAGAAGTTTATGTGGATTTAGAGGTCATACTTCTCAAAACACAACAATGCCAAATTCCTAAATGTTATGTATATTTTACTAATTTGTTCTCCAGTCAATTTATAGACTTATCGGTGCACTATAGTAAAGTCCATGCCCACAAGGTAATTACTAGAACTCAAACTAAATATTAAAAAAAAAAAAAAAAAATCAAGTTCTGTTGAAAGGAGAGAGAAAGTTCCCAATTCAGCCTACTGAAATTACTAAAGTAGAATTAATACGTGTTGCAAATCCAGGTAATTACAAGTTACTTATATTTTTTATATAACCAGAAGGGAAATTTTAAACATAAAACAATGAATCTGATTTTTTCAGAAGAAAATCGAGTTGAGTTAAACTAATGACATATTAAAAATAATAAGACACAAGAAGTATATAGAAAAAATAAAGGAAACAATGCTCCTGAAAACTAGGAAAGCATACGTATATGTATGTTAACAGGAACATAACATACATGTGTGTTAACAGGAAAACCAATAACCTACTATTTCAGATTATAAACTAATAGGGAATAGTCAAGATTACTACAATATCTTATTAAAAAGACAATAATTGATTTTGTCTTCATTTTATAAAGATAAATTCAGGTATACTTTCAGAGTAGATACTACCAACATGACAACCTTTATGATTATTTGCCCAACAGTCACCAGTGTCCACAGACTCAGCAGGGCAAGTGCTGCTAAAAGAAAAATCTTGTTTGTTAACTTCTGCTGCAGAATTTGTGTTAGTAAAGTACTAAGTTCTTATATTCTGCACTTCTATAGACCCTCTTCAAAAGACCTTACAACATTCATGGTAGGACATACATATCCCTATTTTATGTATGGAGGGCAAAGGAGAAATGAGGTTAAATAATGTAGCAAGAAAACAGTGATTTTGGTGTTAGCTGAATCCAAAATCTTTGTCATAAAATCATGGGTAACTAGAGTCAGGTCAGGGGATGCCAGGATCTTTTTAATGGTTGTCACTATTACTGGTACAAAAGGACTTTGCAGGTTATGCAAGTGACACAAGAAAGACAGGTGTTTCTGGACTGCTCCAGTACCATTAGAAGCAGTTAAACCTTGCCCTCTTCCAGTTTTCCATTAACTTCTAAAACTAGAAGAGTTACAGCAAATCTTCAGGTCAGAAACATGCGCTGGTTGTACATAAATACTTCAGACTGATCGTATCTTCAGCGAGTTAAGATTTCCCATTGCTTCTTATTACAGAGGAGCCTATTAGCTTCAGTTTGTCCCTAGCTCTTGTAAATAAAACCTCTTTGTTAAGGTTTCATTCTCTTTTCCACTGAATCTCTACCACTATTACTACCAATCTTTTAAAGAAAGTTCAAGGGACATATCAAAACTAAAAAGTTCTCATCATTACTAACAAAGCTGCTTCCAAGGAAATCTCAGGTGACGAGAGATTAATTATATGCTGCAAGCAAGCTTTCTTCAGATCTATTGATACCAAGTCTCCTGATAGTCTGAGAAAAGACGTTCATGTTCACAGCAGAGCTGTCCAATTTGTAAGCAGTCAAGGGCTGCATAACCCACAGGCCACACTAGCAGGGACCACAGACTCCACACCACATCCAAATGATACATGGACCACTCCACCACATTGCACTACATGTCCACCACCTCCAACACAGCAGCCCCATATGGATGACTCCACCCTGCCCCCTCCCCACATCATGCTGGCACCATCCCACCACGGCACTGCAAGCTGCGCAGCTCTGGCCTCACCCTAAGTGCCCTGTAGTGTGTCATGCTGCACTAACCCCTGGGGCAAGTGCAGCACAGGGAAACTGGAGGATGGAGGAGACTCTAAGGGGTGTTGAAGTCAGAAAAGTAGAGGAAATTGCATCAGGGTGGGAGCCCACAGGCTGCAATTTAATCTGTTGCAAGCCACCAATTAGATGGCCCTAATTTAGAGCTTCAAAAAGTATTCAGCTTCTTTTGGTCCAGACAAGATCTTGCCTTCCTGAAAGCAGGTACAATGCAGAGTTGTACTTGGCTTTATGTCCTCCCAACATAGCAATATTAAAAGGTAACAAAGATTTGGGAAATCTTTCCTTTTGGGAAAATACATTGTGCAAGAGATTGCTGCCCCTAGATGAGAAGCAGCAGTAGCAAAGGAAGGCAATTTCTATACCAAACATACCAGTAATTAGGTGGCAAGACAACTGACATATACAAAGTATCTTAAAAATAGACTTGTTAAATACCTTAAAACAGCCAGGGCCAGCTTCTCTGGCAGGCACACCACAAATGAAGTCCATGCCCTGCCTGAACACCACTCTGATCCCCTTCCCCTGCCCAACATGCCACTCAGCTTTTTGCTCCCTGCCCAATCAGCTGCTGTGCTGCCTTTTACCTCCTTAATCTGCTGCATGCCACACAGAGGCTGCCCGTGCCACCTGTGCTGAAGGTGAGCCACTCCTTCCACCTTAAAAGAAGGAATGAGAAGTTTGTTTTTCTATGAATTATAAGCCAACCACTAAAGATGCAGGGCCCTCTGAACTAAGTCAACACAGCATCTGCCACCAGTTTCATAAAATCCCAGGTAATCATTCAGTTAATGACTCATAATATGGACACTGGTTTATAGAATTGTTAAAAGGGTAAAAGTGCAGATAATTTTACAGCAATCAGGACTGATAGTAGAGATTATATCTTTTATTAAACCAATATCATCTCTACTATGAGTCCTGATTGCCTTTTTCTCTAGACCAGTGGTTCTCAAACTTTTTTGTGGATCACTTGAAATTGCTAACGGTCTTGGCAGACCACTTAATAAACTTTTTTTTGTTCTACAAATCAAAGCACACAACTCATATTTTAATATCAGTAGTCTTACAAGTACAGATATTCTCAATTGTTCTGCAACCTCTCTGCAGACTACCTAAATTGAGCTTGCGGACCAGTGGTGGTCTGCGGACCACAGTTTGAGAACCTCTGCTCTAGACCAATATGGCTACAGCCTAGATACCTGACAGATAATTTTACAGAATTACTGAAAAGCTTGTAGCTAAAGATCCTCAAAAAACATTAATTACTGGTAACAGGCTAGCTGTGACTATCTTAACTTACATAGCTAATCTTTTTTCCTCTTCAAAATATCCCTGGGATATAAACATAGGACAGTAGTCAAAAGGCTGACTATAAGCTAGAGGGATAAGAGCTTCATCTGGGGAAACCACAAACATTAGGAATTTGTATTGCTTTTTTGTTTGTTTTTTACAAGAAATACCATGTCCTGAAGAGAAATTCTTCTGTAATCACTGACAATTTGCAAGGAAAACAAACTCTTACAGTAAAACCCCAAAGAAAGGACAAGGGCCCACAAAATTCTGCAAGATTATTTTAACATTACCTTTGTGGTGCACACATCAGGAAACTGTATTCTGTAGATACCAGCAAACTCTCCATGGCAGCAGTCAGAAACATTTTCAGGCAGTGGACTGAAATGATCCAGCTCAGGTTAGCAGGTGCTAGCACGTGGCCACTGCTACCACTCCCACCATTTCGCCCTGCTCACAACACAACATGAGCTAAGCTCTCCACCACCCAACCACAGCACAGCACAAAGGCCTCCGAGGCTGCCAAATGTCCCCGGTTCTGCAGGCCAAATACAGCTACAGGCTAGAGATTATAAACCCCACATTCTGTGAATCATCTGCCCTTGCTGCTTCCCCAACTCAGCTGAAGTGCCTTCCAGTCTTCAGGGCTAGGGACAAGTCACACAAACTGGTTTAAGTGATCAGAAACTGGTTTAAAACTGTAACAGAACAGAAGCTCAGTGCACATAAACTGGGTTCAAAATGGCTGAAACTGGTTTAAGATAAACCTGGTTGAATGTAGTATCAGACTTAGCTGATTTAGGCCAAACCAATTTATGGAACTTCTGTCCCAGACCCCTTCCTGGTTCAAGTTAAATCACAGCCCCCCAGCATCCCAGCATGCTTTGCAGCCCTGGGCTGTGCTGTCTGCTTGAGCAGAGCAGGGTTGGCCCTGCCCCCCACACCCTAGCTGAAGCAGTGACAGCTAGCTAACAATGGGGTGGGAGTGGAAAACCTGGCTGGTGCAACCCCATCTGCCTGGCAGGGGTGGAGCAACCCCTGCCAGACTTTCCCCCGCTGGAGTGGAGGCGGGGCAAGGGCAGGGGCTGGAGCCAGCAGAGTCAGGGACTCCATCCCGGGTTTGCCCGGCTTACTCCCCTGCTCTCTGTTCAAGTGGCGGGGGGGGGGAAGAAGAGGAGAGGGGGCATAACCAGAGCCCACCCAGGAAGTGCCTCAAGCAAAGAGCAGGCAGGGAAGAGAATTCAAAATTCCTGTTTTTCCTCTCTCCCACAGGCAAAGAGACCCCAGCCGGGGTCTGCTGGCTTTCCTCCTTGCTTGCCACTCTAGCAGCAAGGGGTGTGGACAGAGCTGCGGCCACATCCCCAGCCACTAGAGCAGCAAGCAAGGGGGGAAAGCCGGGCAGACTCTGGCTGAGGTCCCCATGCCCATGCCCAAGAGGGGAGACAAGGGAGTGTAATTCCCCTCCCTGCCCTGCCTTCACCTGAGGTGCTGCCTGGGCCAGTGTCTGGCAATGGCTGGTTCCCCCTTCCCCCACCAGGCAGACCCCAGCTGTGGTCCCTGCAGCCCAAGATGGGGGTTTAAACCCCTCCCCAATCATACTCAGTGGCCTGCCAGGGCCTGGCCATTCCCCCCTCCCACCCTGTCAGCTTCCCTTCAGCCTTGCGACTGCTGCAGAAGAGAAGGGAGGGCTTGTTCTAATGCTTGTAGCCTGAGCCACTGCAGGCCTGTGGCTGCATTTCTGGAATCAGAAGTGAATGTCTATTCACTTGCAAATCGGTTCAATCTACGCAGGTTAGACTAACCTGTAAAAATTGAATCAATTCAGACTTGGGCTTTTTGAATGTCTGTATTTAGTCCAGATCAC